ACGGCACCGCTGCGTGGGGCTGGGCATCCCTGGCTCCGGGCGCCTGCAGCTCCGCTTGTCCCACCGACCGCTTCCGGCCTCCGGACGGTGGGATGTCCCCACTCCTACTGTGCCCTCATCTCTCTGACTCCCCTGCTCCTCACACTCTCTGCTCCCTTCCTGACCACAGGCAAAACCACCTTGCTCTGGGTGGTGTTGTAAGGGCAGTGTTTATGTAACAGATATTTGTGCCAGAGCCCAAAGTGCCAAAAAAAAATATTCAAAATTGGAATGGAAGCTAATTAATGCATTGATCACCCATCATCCTGATAATTTCTTCAGGATACTGAAGCCGGGTGGGCAATCTGTAGACACAAATCTGTGGAGCTGGCTGTGAATGAACCGCTGGAGAACATCCTGATCTGGTTCGGTCCAAAGGAGACAAACTGCCGAGGTTTCGGTGCTGGCAGACACCATCCTGTCCTGGCCCCGACGCCGGCTGCGATGCGCTGACCCTCGGCGTGTTCTGGGACAAATCAGTGAAGCCCCTGGCTCTCGGGGAGCCACCGGCATTGTGGCCACAACAGCTCCTTTCCTTCCAGACTCTCAGGTTCCTGTACCTTGTCCGTCACTCCTGTAGCAGCTCCTGGCTGTCTCCAGGTGACAGCGGTCCCTGCACATCGGCACGCTGTCCTCTAGTGCTCGGCGACGTTTTTCTCAAGACACGCGTGCTGATGCTGCCTTGACATCTCCATCCTGGGATCCAGAGCCCCTTGCTTTAGCCGAGACCACAGACGAAGAGGACGACCCTGCTCTTGGAAGCTGCAAATTTAGACCTGTACTTTTTAGTCAAAATCTGGGTGAAATTTTTTCTCTCGGGATGTATGCCTTTGTGGAATGCTGATTTTTGAAAGTGTTCTTTATACTTCTGCTGCTCAATAAAGCAAAAGCATACTTAACGTTGTGGATGTGTCTACTCTGCAAGTTTGTTTTAACTTCTGCGGAATCAGTTGGACAATTCTCTTTCAGAGGATTTGCATTTCCAGATTCACCGTGTGTCTTCTTTCTCCAGCTGCTCGCCGCTCCAATCTTCTGTTCTTTGCCTCCGTGCTGGCCCTGCTAGCCCCTCTGCTTGCTGTGGACATTGAAAACCTGGAGAGACTGAAAGCGAATTTAGATGACATCGCTAATCTCCATTCAGGTGAGCCCCATCCTGGTATGTGTTTTCTCTCTTACATCCCTGAACTCTGTTCATCCAAACATTAGGAGCACTCTCCTCTGCACAGAGAGGGGGATGTGGAAAATCACGTTGGCGAAGGGCAGTCACACTCAGAAATAAAAGGAACCTGATCAAATCTTCCTCCAATTTCAGAGCTTAACCAAAGATCATAAGATTTTGCAGTTCAGCCTTCTTAGTTATTGACAAGACCGTATGTGGCAGCTTTTTCTAGAGAGCTGGAGATATTCAAAGGAAGACCTTTCCTCTTGCTATCTGTAGTCCGCCTGTAGCCCTGAAACTTCAGAGAAATTTTGCATAAGTGACCAACCAAAGTGCTTTCTGAAGCTCGCACGTGGCTAAATGATACAATAAACGGCTCATGGCGCTGGCAGAGGCCACACCGCCGGAGGCTCTCGGGGAATGCCGTCTTGTGAACATGGGTGCTGTGAGTTCTCTTTAAAGAAAGCATTGCTATCTTATGTGCTTCGAGCTCCTTTTCTTCTCTGATGGCTTCTGAAGCTCTTTATGAACTGAGTGAACACACGAATCCCTTCAGCCACCACTGAAAAGCAGTGCAGCTCTACAGCACCGTCTCTCAACAGTTTAATCTTGGTCTGAAACCACACACCGGCTGTTTCCTTCTCCATCCTTCTTCTCCAGCAGTATCTCCTCATACTCACCGCTGCCGCTCGGATACGCAGTCCGCTCCAGGCAACTCTAAAGCCATCACGCTGAGCGGACCAAACGGGCAGCCGCTCAGTGACGGCAGCGATACCCTTCCTACTGCCTGATCTCTTTAGCAAGCTTACCACCGAAAGCTACCATATAAAAAGAAAAATGAGCCCAGTGGCGTGGTAGAAGTGCCTTACGGAAAACGTAGTGCTGGCAATAACGGCCCGCGGAGGCTGAGGTTACTCTGCTGTGGCGCGGGGCTGCTCGTCTCACTCTTCCGTTTCTTCCCGATGCAGCTGAGGATGGAGAGAACGCGCGGCCCGGCAAAACTGCCGGCGTTCCGAGTGGGGGGCCCACCGCGAGCCGTGCCTGACAAGGTCCCAAAGGACTTTGCCACCGCTGCGTATGTGCCACAAGCCCTCTGCTCTGCTGTGCAGCTCTGCGCGGGGCAAGCAGGGGATGTGCGGGCTGGGGTTTCACAGCTGGCCACGGGCTCCAGTGAGCCAAGGGAATGAGGTTTTCTCCTTCCCGACCCCAGGGATGCGCTGGATGCCAGGGCTGCAGGAGCAGCTCGCTTGCTCACTTAAGCTTCTGCCTAACTATGTAAGAAGAGCCCTCACCAAGCCAAGCTTGGACCCCTGTATTGTTATGAGGGAGGACAAACATCCAAATGCTGGGAAAGCCTGAGGAAACAAGAGCCTGAGCCAGAAGGAGAAGCAAATTCTTTGCTTATACCTGCAAAATATATAGATGTTCTCTTAATCACTGTATTTCCCTTACCGAGGTTTTCTGCTTTTACACTTACAGTACGAAAAACAGCGGTAGAGTTTTTACTACTCTGGCAAAATCCCAGATCTCCCCATTTTCTAGAAATCCCTCTCCCAGGGCCAGATGAGCAGACTGGGGGGTTGCTGTGCCTGTTGGTTCTCCATGTTCTCTCCTGCCCCAGGATGGCCCAAGGACTGCAGCGAGGTCCCCCGTGGCAGCCCCAGCGGCATCTACGTCATCCAGCCCGCAGGGCTGAACCCCATCGTGGTGTACTGCGAGATGAACGTGACGGACGGGGGCTGGATGGTCATCCAGAGGAACCGGCAGAGCACGGAGATCACCTGGGCCGAGTCCTGGAGCACCTACAAGAACGGCTTTGGGAACGTGC